CTATCAATCATATTCAACACTCGTAGCGCATCTAACACAGAAGCCACTAATAAATCAGAATCAACATGAATTGCTGATAAATGGATTCGCATTATTGCGTAAGCCGATGTGATAGATTCGTGCCCATTTTGAACAGCACGACATAATTCATCAACCATTTTTATACTTTGAACATTGACAGTTCCAGTCGATCGATAAACCTTGTCAATTTCGTCAATAATAGCATAAAATTTTTGTGAAACTGGATCATAACGTTGTTTAAGTTTCTTATATTCTTGTTCCAACTGAATTTGCTTCAATTTATAAGATAGCAAAGCTTCCTTTCCAGCTAATAGACTCTTAGCTAAATCAAGAAATGAACCTTTGCGAAATACATCTTGAAGAAAACTAGTTCGTTGTACTAATCTATTTATATTTTCCCGTACGATTTTTTCACGGTTCTCAGCGTAAACACCTCGTACTTTCCATGAAAATATCCAAAACGATCCTCGTTCTTCTAATTGACGATCACGATACTCTTGTATTTTATTTTGATAGTCTTGTATTTGTTCGCGTAATTTGCCTGTCACTGCCATCATTTCTTCTTTTACTGTTTCCATATGACTAGTGAAGTTATCCAAGATTTTTGTTTTTTGCTCAAGTAAAGCAGTTATCTGTTGATTTGTATCGTACTCAGCAGTTTCATTTGTTCCATCAGAAGAATCAGTTCGTTGCATCCAATTTCTATGATTTTTCCAAAGATTTCTTGTCATGTTACCCGCATGAACATTTGGAAGTGTCTGCAATGCTTGAGAAGCCGATCTAGTCTTTTCTAACATATAATCACGATGTTTTTGCAGTTTGTTTCTATATTCATACATTTGTTCTTTAAATTTGGCTGCTTCTAACTTCATTTTGTCTCTTGTTAATACATAATCTGCAGTAAATCCAGAAGGAACAGTTTTTATTTTTACCGATCGCTCTGTATCAATTATCGTTTGATTTTTAGTAATTGCAGAACTGATATTGTTAAGTAATGCATCTAGTTCTAATAAATCAATTATCCCTTGATTGGTACCACATTCAGAAGATTTATTTTTTAACAATACTGATAATTGTAAGAAATCAGGTTCTAATTCATTTCTTTTATCTAGCAGATACTGAACTTTACCACCAGTTGCTTCAAGCAATAACTGTGACTGAATCTCAACCAATTCAGCTCTTGATGATTCAACAAATGTGTCTAGATCATCGATAAAAGATGTGTTTAATTGGTTTCTAACAGTCATTAACGCCTTTTGATCTTTTTTATCCATACCATGTTGTATCACTTGCCAGCTTTGTATTACAAATTCTGAAAGTATATCACTTGAACTCGTAAAACCAGCTTTAATCACCGTTCTTATTCTGGAATAAGAAACATACAACCGTTGTAAAATAGAAATAACTTTTGTTGGAAGCATATAAATAGCTTTATTAATAATAGTCGATAAATCTTTAAATGCAATTAAAGTATTATCAGGTTGCATTTCCTTGATCATTTTTTCTATTTTAGCTAATTCAGCAGCTTCAAATCTTACCACTTGTTCTTCATCACCCGTTTTGAAATCTGTTAGCAAATAATGAATGCAAATAGACAATAAAATAATAAAATGTTTGTTTAAATGTCGACAAAAAAAATTTGTGCAGTCCATTACGAGGAATATTCAAGACTGTTACTTTATATGATTCCACAATGTTTCGGTCGGCAACATTTTCGAACTGATACTATTGCAACCATATTTCCGCGCACGGCTTTTCAGCACATGATATCTTCGAGTATAGATGCTCTCATCCATAACACTTCCACGCAGAATAGTTGTCCAGTAAGAATCCGACCATAGGCCTCCATGAGTTTTCAGGTCTCGATGAAGATGACGATGAGTGTGTGAATCTCAATATGGCTCTACCTATTGTATACGTCTCTTATCAAACCTCAGACCTACACCTACCAGTCTCTTACATACAGCCATCTACCTACGCTAAAATCCACATTCAAACCAAAACCTCACCCATACTAATACTCTCGTTTTATTGTATCCACACTCAAATCTGTGCATAAAACCTTACTTACACTAACACCCTCATCCTTATCTTCAAGAGCGTCAGTTACACCTCTTTTCATATTAGTGTGGAGAGATAGGTAAATATATCTTTTACGCAAAGTCGATCCAGGCAAGCAAAAAATAAGGGAGAACGCCCGACATGACTAGTCTCAAATGTTCGTACTGCCGTCTGTTCTAGTCTGAAATGCCTTGCAGCCAGTCAGGACTAGTTGTCTTGACGCATAAAGTCTTGCAACTTTATGTAGACTAGTCCAAAACTTGTTCTCACCCTGTCATGACTAGTCCGTTTTGTATAATCATACTGTCCAGACGCGTCAGCATAACGACAAAAGTCAGAAGAAAAGGAGACAATAGGTGGATTCGAACATTCGGTTCGGCAATATTGAATACCCGACTAGTCCAGATTGTTTTCAATAGCAATCCGGACTAATATGAAGAGTCACTTGTTCTACTCATGACTAATTGTATTTAAGGGACTAGTGCCAATTTTGATTCAAACTAGTCTAAACTCCTTAGATAGTCTCTTTTGATTGCACTTCATTATCCGAACAACTCATTTAGACTTGTTCATATGGAGACTAGAACAATGTATCCAACGAGAGTTGCCTATTTATGTCCTCTAAATTTTTAGACTGTAATAATAATTAAGAACAGATTTATTAGAGCAATGAATTTTCGTATTTTTCTATGAGAATATTATTTTATCTTAGTATAAAATCTGATGATTTGAAGTAAAAAAGGTGGTTTAAATCATAGAATTATAGCTTACAATGGAACGGTCTGTACTGAGAAGCTAGCCGGTCGACCCTGTGAGATGCAAATGATCACACTCATTGAGAAACTCATGGATTTAAAATATGAGCTGCTGATAGCTTACCCGGGCAGAGATATTCAGTTTTTAAGTTGTGTATTAATAGAGTATTGAAACATAATAATACATGAAATATCGACATCAGCTTTTAACATAATCATCAAATTTGCTAAGAAGTGCATTTCAAAAACCAAGATAAGACCTACTGACACTATTGATATAAATCTAGATATGACCTCTAATGAATTTTCACAGTATCGAATTCAAAACAAAAAGTATTACATTTGAAGTGTTCACATATAAGATATTCGAAAATAAAATGCATTGATGCATCAATAAATAATTTGACAAACATCTTTGCTACTACCACTTGATAGAAGATCTTCATCTTCATTTATAATGCATTTTTGTGAAATATTATTGTTCATAGTTTATCAAAAAATTAAGTCGAAGCTATGAATAATTTAGGAATTTCCGTATATAATACTCGATATAATATGTACTGGATACTGTTAAAATTCAATAGACATGATATCTAGATTATTCTAAATAGTATCAGTAAATCTCATCTTGATTTTTGAAATGCACTTCTTAGCAAACCTGATGATTATGTTAAAAGCTGATGTCGATATTTCATATATTATTATGTTTCAATACTCTATTAATGTACAACTTAAAAACAGCATATCTCTGCCCGAGTAAGCCATCAGCAGCTCATATTTTAAATTTATGAGTTTCTCAATAAGTGTGATCATTTGCACCTTACAGGGTCGTCCGGCTAGCTTATCAGTACAAACCGTTCCATTGTTAGTTTCAAATTTAAATCGACAATGTTGTAAATGAAAATATGCGTAAACTATGATGTGAAAGGCAAGATTTTTTGAAAATATAGATTAGTTTTATTTTCATTTAAAATGTTAACAGTTTTTCAAATAGAAAACAATTTTTTCCAAAGATCGAGGATCAAAAAAAAAATTTCTTTTCAAGGAGAGTTAAAAAGTTCTCAATTAATTTTATTTAGCTAATTTGTTATTATATAATAAACATTTTTATTAATATTAAAATTTAAGAAAGTGTGACTCAAACCATATTAATTAGCATTTTAGAGTGTCTATCGACATGTCAAAGTTGATCACTTGATCATATGGTTCAACGGGGTAAAGTATAAGTAACATATGCTATGCATGTTCGAATCTAACTCTGTGCACATACTTCTATCATTTAGACTAGTTCGGACTAGACCACTAGATAGAATTAGGTCCTAATAGATGTCACGTCACTGATGCTCTTCCTTTTTTTTATTTACAATCTATTTTGGACGGGTGTCCGGACGGGTACTAAACGTTCCAAATGATTTCGGACTAGTCATCTAGCAGTCCGTTTTGAGAAAAAGACTATACCGGATGTGCCGTCTGGACTAGATAACAGACTAGTCTTTTTACCCGTCCTTTGCTCGCCTGTGAATGGATGTCAGAATGAGACTCAACTATTCTCTTACAAATGATTATCTTTTCTTCCCTGGTAATGTCTAGAATGGATATCTCTCTGCCTCATTGTCTGTTTCTCTTTCAATTTTTTTCTATTTAGATGACATGGCTGTCCTATGTCCATGATCTACCATTGAGCAATTGCCTTTAATTGATCTGGCAACAACTACTTGGACGAACACTATCAAACACAATAAGCAATGGGATGATCTTTGTTTTCAAGAACACTCGACTTGGACTGAAATGAGACAAACATCTGATAGATTTCGTTTGTTCCTTTCCCTTATCTCTCGGATGATCATTTGTTAGCAACAATCGAATCGTAAATCTCAGGGATATGACTGGCATTTTGACAATCATTAGCGAAAGACTGATGAGTTTAAATAAAGAAAACGCATTTTCTTCCGATATTCTTGCTATTGCGATTGTAGTTTTTAACAATTCAGCCTCTGATGACTACTGCTCTCTCGCTCTCTGACAACTGTCACCCTTAGCTGATTATTCACTTCTATATTGAACTAATCGAACATTATGGAAGTCAATATCTACAAGTTTCTTTTCTTTCTCACAATTTCAGGCATAGGTTATTAGTTGCTTGGGTCCATGAGCTATTCAAAAACAGACCATGCTGTTTAGAATTACAAATAGATAGCATACTTTGATTAAAAGATAACTTTTCTTGATAGTTATTAGACACTCACTTTTTTCGGTTGTCGTTCTTTGTTTTTTTGTTGTTTTTCTTTTTTTGTTCTTTATTGATCTAACATGTCTACTTGGACGCGCAGTTGTCATCGGATTTTGCTTTTTTCCATACAATGCTTGAATACTATTTTGATTCTAGAAAACAGTTACAACATGAATCATTAGAATTCTCTTCTTGAGTGGAACCTAACTATTCCACGATCTACAATCGCACACCTATCTCTTACACATCGAAAGAAAGTCTCCAAGCAACTCGACAGTAGACATGGGTATGGAAGGAGTAAGATCAGTTGAAGCATAATTTAGACAAGATTCTACGATCGTCACACTATTTTATCTTTTTATAAAAGCTTCAAACTCTCAATTCTTTCCTATATAGATATCAGTCAATAATTGAATACACTTGACAAGGAAAACGAAGATGTTATCCGAGAATGACAAAAAGATACACGTCCATTTGTTATAATTTCTACAAAACATTTTTCTTTTGTGCTCAGTTTGTCGCATATGATCAACTTTAAGCACGCACAAATAGTTTATTAACTATGAGACTCAAATAGTATTTTAAGGTCTCCTAACGGGATTCGGACAGTTGCCCGGGGACAAGTTGCGCCCGGGCAGTTGGTCGCAGGACAATTGGTTGCATAGACAGTTGGTGACTAGGACGGATGGTCGCAGGGCACGTTTTCACAATGATTATGAATAAGATAACCGTATACCATCGATGCAATAGATTAATCTCGTATCGAAGAGTAATCATCGTCATAA